TCTCCATGATGCTGGTGCAGCGGCAAGTCACCTATAGCTCCGTTGCCGATTCCTTGGGCCAATGTTTTTCCTACCGACTCGCTTGAGTTTAAAAATAGTGACAAATTGGTCTCGATCCATAGATTATGGCTGCTTGGAGTCGACAGACGCACGAGGTGCTATATTTCTTTTGCTAGTATTTTAGGAATCATGGAGGTCTGTTGACCATTGAACGAAACTATGGAGAGCAAATGACATTCTAGAGGAAAGGAATCTCGGGCAGCGCCGTTGTCTCCGGTGTACGATCACACGATTCGGGCGGTCATCTATCTAATTATTTAGCACGCTCTATAAGTAAAAGGATAAAAGGGGACCGAGCGAGCTGACGCGTGTGTAGAACACTCGTTGCCTGGCAACGTGATAAGCTGAAGATTGCGAGTTCATGTCCAAGTGACGAGAGAGGGGCTTTTAACTCTGGTACTAATTACAGGCCCTCTACCCTACCTCAGAAAAACTCCCAACCGACTAAAAGGCGAGAAGGAGGAGAAACGTTTTGCCATTAGATGAAGCTTTTATGATAATAATAATACAGAAAGTCTAAAATGTGGGCTAAGGAACCTCAGAGATACATAGACAAAAATATTTATTTTTTTAAAAATCTTTTTATTGAGAAATAATACATATTGACACATTTAAGGGCACTGTGGATAGGCTGGCCATTGCCAGAACTCCAGTGACAGTCTTTACAAAAGTTCTCGAGGCCACTGCTGTTTCAACCTTCGAGGAGGGTTGTAGGGGTGACTGGAGCTGGATAAGGATTGTGCTAAGGAGTTAGGATGGTGGATTAGGTTCAGATGAAAATTTGAGAATCGAGATGGAATAACGTCAAGGACATAAGGGATGTAAAGGTCATGATGTAGGGTTTTGTTTGTAACATAATAAGGAGCATTGACTATTATACGGAGGACATTATAGGTCCAGATGGGTTTGAGTATGGTCTTGTATATTAATAGTTTGTTTTCTATTGAGGGATTGGATTTTCTGTTAAGTAGTCTGTATAGCTGGCCAAATCGTCGGTTAAGTTCTTGTCTTTTAAGTCTGGTATGTGGGTTCCAAGTTAGTCTTTTGTCTAAAAGGAATCCAAGATACCGAACTGTGTCTGAGACGGGGAGAGGTACAGAGGTGAAAAGGATATGTGGACAGGATCTGCGTCGGAGGGTAAAGGTGACATGCTTGCATTTGGATTCATTTATCTTAATGCGCCAATTGTTGCACCATCGCTCAATCAGGGAGATGTGTCTTTGTAGGTTTAAGGATGCTATTTCAGGATTTGTGTGGGATGACAGGATGGCGGTATCGTCAGCGAAGGTTGCTAGAAGGGTATTGGGGTTGGTTGGAATGTCAGCGGTGAAGAGGATGAAGAGAACTGGGCCCAAGACAGACAAAAATATAGAGTAATTAAATAGTTATAGTTAATATATATATATATATATATATATATATATATATATATATATATATATAAAAGTTATTTTATAATTTTAATCAGTCAATAATAAAAAAAAAAAGAAGTAAAATCATAAAGAAGGAACTAATATTTTATATAAACATTTACAGTAGTATCTATTTACAATTTTATGAGGACTTATTAAACAGGCGAGATTTAAAGGTAGAAAGCGTATTGGATTGACGGATGTGGGAAAGGATGGAGTTCCATAGGGTTGAGGATCGGATAATGAACGATATGTCGAACGATCCGTGGGCCCTTATGTATGAATCAGAAGACCGGGACGAGTATTGCGGGAACGAACAGGATTGCGTTGAGTAGCCAGGTCGAGAGCCAAATTGGAATTGGTTAATAAGGGGAAGTTCCTCTAAGAAATTGGAGAGTTGATTTCGGAAAAGGCATTTTAACGGCTTTGTAAGGTTGGATAGGGGAGAAATAGGACGGAAGTCGTGCAGTGAGGTAGGGTTGGAAATTTTATTCAAATATCGGACTAGGTCAGTTTCCCAGTATGATGGGATTATGAAGTTTCGCAATGAAATGTTGTAGATATGATAAACAACAAGAATAAGTACAGGGAGCCTGGAATTTATTAGTTTTACTGGAATATTACCAGGACCATGATTGTTAGTGCGGGATTTTATGATAGTAGGAAGTGATTCATCGTAGGACACATGGAAAGAAGGAGAAGAATTGTGAGTGAAGGATAAGAAATGGTTATTGAGATCATCAAGAGAAAAAGAAAAAGAACTAAGATTTTTGGATTTTACTATGGATTGATTGCGGATTTAATTAAGTTCTGGTTGAAGGGATTCATAGGAGAGAAGGTTTAAATTGTGATATGAAACTATTTTTGGAGTGAAACTATTTTTGTTTTGTTAGGTTTTAACTATCGAAGTCTGTGAAAATAATCGGACGCTCTCTGCTCAATAAGAGAAAAACCATGTTATCCCATAGACTGTAGCGCAAAAAGCGGCCCTAACGATTTTGATGAAACTTTCCAATAATCTTCCGCTTAAATTCCTTTCAATTTTCGCACACGTACTGGATTCCCGAGAAAATTAAGGAAAAATAGTTATCATGAAAATTAAAATGTTTTTGGGCCTAACTCAAAAAGTACGCATTTTATGATATTGTTTATATATAATCTTCTGAAAGGTAATTAAATTCGCTACAACACAAAAATGATTCTCAACAGATTTTTAAGTTTCAGAGCTCTATGAGCCCGAAAAATACATTTTTAGCCCACTTTTCAAAAGGTTATTGAATTCCCCTCAAAACCAAAAAAAATCATCAAAATCTTATTAGTATCAACAAAGACGCAACGTACTGAAAATTGTTTGCTCATCTTAAAGGTGCCTTTTATTTATTTATTTTTTTCTGGGCATCCACTGATGATTCACCCGTCCGTTTACATTTCTTTAGTTGATCAGAGATCGGTAGTTGATCTACTTCTAATCAATTCTCTGAATGGTTGTTAAAGAAAATTAATCTGATTAACCAAACATCGATCTGTTTTTTTCTAAAATCGGTAGGAAAATCTTGTGTGTGGACGGACCTGTTTTTTTTTAAATTTATTTATTATACAATTGAATATAAATGCGAATATAGAAATTTATTATCTAAAAATATTTCAATACTATATTATGACAGTATAAAATGTAATCTTACAGGAAAGATATGATAATAAAAGGGTATGGCCAAGAGAAACAGCTTCATATCCTGTTCTAATTTAGCCAGCGGTGAATTATCTGCCAATATATATAGAAGGCCATTGTAGGAGGTCTATTAAACCGGACCGAAACTATACTTCTCCCTTTCTGATCCAATTACTCCCAACTCGCTATTATAACCTCAGACTACAATGGGAGGAGCGTTATGCCCAGGATCAAGGGATTTACTTAACCCAAGTCTGATAGTCCGCGGCTTTAGTCCGGCCCGGTTGCCTCACCAACCAGGCGAGGTAGTTAGTTATATGCCAATCAGAAAAGAGGATGTAATATCCCAGGTAATATAGTCTGATTATTGTGATTCAAGCTCTGAAAGGTCGTCATGGAGTACCTCACTCGCCTGCCGAAGTCATAAGTAGTATCACGTGAAGTAATTTTCCCTTCATTAAGTAAGAGTTCAAGTTTATAAATAATTAATTGAAAAAAAAAGTTGACCATGCCAAGTAAAGAGGGTCTCATCAAAGTTAAAAAATATAAAAATTATCAGACCATTAAAATCTTCTAATCAAAATTCCTCCGGATAAAATCCACTATCCCTTCTACAGGATGTATCGATACCAGCGCACTTTAAGACAGAAGAAGATTTCACACCTCATATGCAACAAAAATGTTTACCGTATCTTTTCTTCTTTTGTTTACCATATTTACCATTTTTCTGGTGCAATTTTATATTTTTTAGTTTTTAGTTCTGATGATGAATGAGATATATTATCATTTGGTTTTGGACACTATCTTTTTCTTTCTCCGACGCTCTAACACGATTTTGAGTTAAGATACAATTTTAGATAATAGCACTTTACAAAGAAGACAGAATGCTCAACATTTACCTTCCTAACAGTACACAGATCAGATTTTTTATTATCTGAAATATTTTAACCCATATATTCAACTAACCTCGATATCATTTGGTTTTCGACCCTTCTTTTTTTTTTTCTTTTCGCCACCCTAACACTGGGTCGCGTTAAAATACAATTTTAAATTATAGCTTATTACAGAGGTGACAAAATGCCGAACAATTTCTTCGCTTACAGTATGCAGGCTCGATTTTTAGTTTCTGAGATATTTTAAACCATATGTAAAAACTTTTCAATTATTCGAATATAGCCGACTTTATCCGAGCGTTAAAATTTGACGGATGAATCTAACTCACTCTCCACAAAAAAGTGGAAAAACCTCCTAAAGAAGTTTTCGCCTACAAAAAATAACGATGGATTCAGAATTAAAAAACGAATAACTAAAAAAGTAAACTAAGGACATTGAACTGTCATGCATTGTAAGTACATATAAAAGTGGATGTTTTCTGATATATGAGCCTTTCAGTCATACAAGTTATATTTCTAGTTGGAGAATTTATAATATCTGTACAGACAGTAAGTAAATTGATTCCCAGAGTAGGTGATTGCAGTGTTGAACTGCAAGAACTGTAAGTAAAGGTATACATTTTCTCGGTTGAAATAAAAGTAAAATTAATAATAAAAAATGTTGAAATTGGAGTTAGTCAATCTTCCAACTGAAAGGCTCATATAATGAACGAATGTATATTATTAAAAAAAAAAATGTAAATTCGTAATGTTTTACTAAAAGTTTCAGTAACGATTATGGTCGAAGTTCGACTACTCGGCGAACACTGGTTTATGGTTTCCTTTTATTTAAAAATAAAATGGAATAATGATATTATGCTAAGGTATGGTTTATTGGATATATTCCGCATTAGGATATTCAACGTAACATCTATTTAGGACGTGGCACTGATGTACCGTGCATATCAATCATCAGGCGAATGGAGGTTAATCATTATTTAATGCATCTGACCCATTAATGTTACCGAATGCAGGATTGAGCCCGTAGTAGCTACCTTCGATATGAGGTGGATTAAGCATTTCCATTGCGGCAGTCGTCCCGACGCGGTGGGGGAGTAAGTCCGGGAACGTTTTTTGCCGAAGGAATGTTTGGAATAGTTGGAGCCTACAGAATCCGAGGCTTCTGTCAGCCATGAAATAGTTGTTATTCAGGGGGGAGGAATAGTTTCCCTCGGATCTTATGCCCTTCGCTCGACACTTAATTAAATTGCATCTATTTATTTTTTTTAACGGCCCCCCTCTAAGTCCTTTTCCGAATGATACCTTCTTTCTATGGTCTCTAATTATTTTTAGTTTTCTATTACATGTTAACCATTATAAATATTACAATATTTTTCACTTACATCGTACATGCCTTAAGATTGTTTAGAATAAGACAGACTGCTTGATTAATTATAATAAATGGACGTATCCGTTTGGCTTTTAACGAAACATATAAATAGGTGAGACACCTAGATTGTTTACGCTATTACCTTTGCGCAATGTTAAAAAAAAAAAAAAAAAAATTAGCAAGGTATTAATTATATGTTGTATAAGGTATAGAAGTTATAAGTCATATAAGGTATAAGGTATAAGTTGTATTAGTTTCAAACAGATAAGTTGTAAAATAATGGACTATAAAAAAATAATAAGTACTAAAAAAAATGAATACAAAGCAATTAACTATGATATTTTCCTATTCTAAAACAATATTATTTGTTTGCTGTTGTTGTTTATAGATCTAAAACCCACAGGTCATCAACGCTGAAGAATAATTATTTGCTATATAGAATATAAACAATTTCAACGCAAAACTGAGACCTTAATTAATTTTTAATCTAAATACACTAGAAGTTTAGACCTTTCCGGAAAATACTGCTTCTCTTACTTGAGAATTCCTTCTTATTTTTATATATTTTGTATACATATATATATATACACACAAAATATATATATTATGCTTTTATAATATTTATAATTTATATATATATATATATATATATATATATATATATATATATATATATATATATATATATTATACTTATATTTTGTTTATTGCATAATAAATGATTATCCATCTTTGTTTGAACATTAAAAAAATACCATCAACCGTCTGGTTTTCACCTAACCCATAGATGGGTCCGGTACCAACTATATATACGAAGAGTGTTCTATGAATAAATTTTTTGCTAAAGCAGTGGCTAAAAGTGAACCGCTCTCTCTGTTTCCCTTGTGGCACTTTGGAGTTCAATGCATTATCCACCTGTACAATTTGTTTTAATTTATACTGGCTGATGGCTGGCAATCGCTGTACAATAACTTTTTTTTAATTTTTTTTTTTTTTTATTTATCACATAATCTTTCGTCAGGTTGCCGAGTAACGCGGTGCTGTCCACCGCCCTCTACTATCGGCCACCCCAGCCAGCTATACAATAACGGTTCGTCAAGTAATTAATTAAAGTAATAATGGTTAAGTTGTATGGTTTTAATATAAAATAAATGTTTCGGAACTATTATTATTAATAAAATATGGCCTACTATTCTGGAAAAATCTCGGACAATATATTGGTGATTTTCCCACTTCCTCTGGATACAGTGCTGAACCGCTGGTCATAAAAAATTCTGAAAATGTAATTTTAGCGAATTTTTATCAATAAGACATTTAACTTTTAACAACTGGCCCAGGCGACTACAAAAAAAAAAAAAAAAAAGAAGTCTGCCAAGTAAGCTCAGTACAGCTTCCTCAGCGTTTTCATTGGACATACAACATCTATATTTTAATGTTTATATTTTTTCATATGAGAATAAAATCTCCGGAAATCCGGAAGCCGTTTTTGGAAATACAATAATCTCTCAGCATTCGCAAGTTCGTTATTCAGAAATTTTGTTCGCCAGGGAATATTAAAATGAATCAGAGTTTCACAATTTCAAATAGCGAATTTGATGATTCTTTTATTAAGTAAAAAAAAATCCCAGTACATAATGAGCATGCATATCGCTACCGTTAGTGAAAAAGATCGTATGGAAATATAGATTGTTTTACGGGAGAATGTTGATTAATTAGTATAATTTTATTTTTTATTTCCCTCTGCTATTTTCCATGGTAGAAAACTACTTATATCAGCTGTAGGTTACAAAATGCCAAAAATAGAATAAAAAATCTGTACATAAGACCTTTTGCAACGACAGTAATGATATATACGTCATAGGTATGTTTTCACTCGTAAATTGGATGAAACAAAAATCCACAGGAAAAATTCAACTTTTTGTTTGTTCGGAGTAATTAATATTCATTTTACACGGAATATCTTTATTTTTCTTTTTCTTTTGTCTCCTTTTGATCGATATTAACCTCCTTAAAAGCATCTCTATTAATCATATCATCTCTATTAAATATGAAAAATAAAATAATATTTTTGTATGGAAGAGGATTAATAAATGTTGACACCAAACAGAAGAATATTCCTTCCGTAATCAGTTCGTAATATAGAGAGGTAAGGACAAGAACGCGAGATCATGCATAATTTTTCGGACAACATAACAGGCTGAACTAGTATATGTACTACATGGAACTTGTTCGAATTGAAGTTGAAAAATTAAACTTTTTGTTCGTTCCGAGTAATTAATATTCATTTTACACGGAATATCTGTCATCTTCTTTTTTTAAATCTCCATTTGATCGATATTAACCTCCTTAAAAGCATCTCTATTTATCATATCATCTCTATTAAATATGAAAAATAAAATAATATTTTTGTATGGAAGAGGATTAATAAATGTTGACACCAAACAGAAGAATATTCCTTCCGTAATCAGTTCGTAATATAGAGAGGTAAGGACAAGAACGCGAGATCATGCATAATTTTTCGGACAACATAACAGGCTGAACTAGTATATGTACTACATGGAACTTGTTCGAATTGAAGTTGAAAAATTAAACTTTTTGTTCGTTCCGAGTAATTAATATTCATTTTACACGGAATATCTTTCTTCTTCTTTTTTTTAATCTCCATTTGATCGATATTAACCTCCTTAAAAGCATCTCTATTTATCATATCATCTCTATTAAATATGAAAAATAAAATAATATTTTTGTATGGAAGAGGATTAATAAATTTTGACACCCAGACAGAAGAATATTCCTTCCGTAATCAGTTCGTAATATAGAGAGGTAAGGTCAAGAACGCGAGATCATGCATAATTTTTCGCACAACATAAGTGACTGAAGTAGTATATGTACTACATGGAACTTTACATTCTTCAGTCCTAATCCGTATAAGCTTCGCTAGTCTCCGCTCAATTTGTTAGATTCATAAAAAGGTGTTTTTCAGGTGTACTTTAAGAAGTTTTTTGGGGGAGGATTGAAGATAGGTATACTTTATTAATGTTAGTTTTTCTCTGGTAATGATCCTTAATGAAGAAAAATCAGTTCGTAATAAACAGGTGTAAGGTCAAGAACACGAGATCTTGCATAATTTTTCGGACAACAACTGAAGCAGTATACATGGAACTTAACACTCATGAATCCCAATCTGTATAAGCTTCGCTATTCCCCTCTAAATTTGTTAGATTCGTAAAAAGGATTCCTCCAAGGTGTTTTTCAAGTGTACTTTAAGAAGTTGTTTTTTTTCATCGGGATTGAAGATAAGTATACTTTCTTAATGTAAGTTTTTCTCCGGTAATGATCCTTAATGCAGAAGTGACATAGACGAATGCCCCTAACGACCTAGGAGACACAAGTCCAATTTGAGATAGGTGCGGCAACTAACTGACAGCGGATAGGACAGAAGGCGGAGCTAATCTGTAAATGGGGGAGCCGGCTAAGTCAGGCTGATCCTCCCTATCTGCTCCCAGCTGATAGCGGCTAAACCTATTACTGGTCAGTCTCACTAATTCCTCAGCTAACTCGCCAAAGCTCACTCTTACCTCCTTCCAGCGAAATGTCATTACTACCCGGGTCTAAGGGCTAATTTTCCAACATCTACGTAGCGGGTTTTGGTCGGAGGAGAGTACTCTTCTTGGAAGTGGACCTGCCATCGATCGAGGTTTCCTACTGAGTGGGACGATAGAGGAACTTGAAGATAAAATGACCGAGAGTTTTAAGAATTTATAGGGAAACTTGCTGATTACAACTTTAATTATGTACAAAGTTCTTCAATAAAATACTTCTACAAAAAAACAGATTATTTATTTCAAACACAGATGTCAGTGCCTAAAACTGCCATTGCTAGCTCATCTCGTATTTATATCAAATCATTTAGGCTCAGTGGTTTGTTAAAATAATATATTTATCGATCTTGTATTGTCTTCCATTCTGATGACAACGTTGTCTTCAGGGGTTTCATGACGTCATTTTTTAAAAGCACCTCAATAAAAAAATAAAAGAAAAAGAAAAAAATAATGTTTCTTCTTATTTTATCACTATAAATTTCAGAGATTGTCTTGTATCGGTTTCACCGAAATATGTATATATCATATATTGTTTAATTGTAATCGTGTGTATTAGTATATTATAGTATTGATATTGTTTGTGCTGTGTAATATGAAAAAGAATTTGTATATATATATAAAAATATGATCAAGTATAATTAAGTGCTATGCCCAAACCACAAAAAAAAAAGGATTGATGAGTATGCTATGTATCGAGCAACCCTATATAGTAGGGCAGCACTGCTTTAAATAAGGCATTTATTTCTTTTTTATTTTTTTATGGTTTGATGATTTATATTAAAAAAAACTTTTTATAGAAAAAGTAGAATGTTGAATTTCTAACATATTCACTTTAGTTTACATATTAATCTTAGACACATAGGCATAGATCGCTCTTTTCCCAATAGAAATAGAAAGGGAGGGGATTAACCTCCTCCTATATCACTAGTGTTGCCCAAATGCGAGACCGAGACAAGTCTTGGTCTTGCAAACGCAGTCTTGGTCATGGTCTTGGTGTTGCGCAAGACTTTCGCAACAGTCTTGCAGTTACTTATTAGCTTATTACTAAAGAGATATTACTGTAATTGTTTAGATAGGAGAAACCTAACTAAGCCTTAATGAATAATTAGAGGAGTTAAATGCAAAAGAATATTGGTTATACCACTTATTAACATATAGGAACTAAAATTGTCAAGTATTAGTAACTATTTTGCCTTAATTTTTATTTTAAAAATCGATTTTTTAAAGTCCTTGGTTTTGGTCTTGCAGCAGTTAGGCGGCCTTCGCGATTTTGGGCAACACTATCTATCACCCAGTAAATAAAAAAAAATCAAAATCAATAACAAATAATCAACACGAATGAATAAAATATGTTAACTAAAATCGATTAGCAAAATAGAAAAAGTCAATTTGCTGGCTAAGTTAAGCCCTAGAAGTAGATACTTTTTTTTTGGCTCACGTATTTTAAGACTACTTAAATATTTCTATTATTTAAATTTTCATTTAAATTTAGAGATGAATTTATATTCTCTTTGTACAGACTAAGGAATCGTAATTTTTTAACATTATTCATTTTTAGCTCAAGAAGTTCTAGTTGTTATGGAGTTTGGCCGCTTTCTAAACATATTTTCAAATATTTCAGCTATATAAGAAAAAATATATATATATATATATATATATATATATATATATATATATATATATATATATATATATGTGACAGAATGACTAACTCCAATTTCATCCGCCATTTTAATGTTATTTCTAGTTTATAATATCTGTACATACACTGACTAAGTTGATTCCAGAACTGGCCATGGCAGTGTTGAAATGTAGAACTGTGAATAAAAGTATAAATTTTCTCTCTAGAAATGTCAATGAAACTAATAATAAAATATTTAGAAATTGTAGTTAGTCATTCTGTCAACTGAAAGGCTCAAATACAAACATAATTATAAATTAATTTTTCCCCCTCTCATATTATAATAATTTCTCTCCTAAGCCCCCTTCCCTGCAGATCCGCTTGTGTTTGATTTCATTTGTTAAGTATTAATTTATGTAAATCTTTAACTTTCCAATGGTTAATTATACGTCTATTACTACTCTTATTTCTAGAAATATGTTTTTAAAATTCAAGAAATCGCTCGACATTTCCGACTACTTTCATACTTGCTGGACAAAAAAATCTAAGCTACCATCTTCATATAAAATACTCAAACATATGACTGTAATAAGGTCTATTTGGACTTACATAGTTGAGCTTAGGGGCTCCATCTAACCATCGAATTCTTCTCTTACACAATCCACAATCTTCAGTGCTCCTTACTTGGTTACAAATAAAATCATCCATAACAACCTTAATGTTCCATATGTTTTCGATTTGGCCAAATCCAGAACCTACTTTTTCAAAATAAACTTCAGAAACATTCTAATCATCTCGTTTCTATTATTGCTTCTTCTTCTATTGCTGATTTCCCTTCGTCTGAAAAGAAGAAGAAGCCCCGTGATCTTCTAATTTAGAAATTTTATCGGAGAGCTACCAATGAGTAATTTCTCTACAAGTGTTTTCATGTCATTGTATTTCTCTGTTTATTTATATATATATATTATATATTTATATATTTTTATAAATTTTTATTTATTTTTATACGTTTGTAACTTTCATGAATAAAAAAAACAAAACAATAACCTAAAAATATTTTTTCATTAACTAATTATAATATTATGTAAGTTAATTTTAGCGAAAGGATTGCTGTAACATCCTAGGGATGTATCAATTTTAAATACATTATTTCAGTTTGGTGTGATTTCAGTTTTTGAGCAAGACTGTGCAAATACGAACAGATCAATTTAAGTTATTCGGTTATTTGGACTCAGGAGACCTTTATATATAAATAAATTGAAAATTCTGATCCGAATTTTTTCACAATTAGAATCCTCTTCTTCACTATACATTATATAGTTAGATAAATGAAAATATAAATTAAGTAAAATAATTTTGAAAATAAATATTGCCACAGGAAAATAAACAGACGTTTTAAACATATTTGAATTACATAGGTATATGATAAAAGAACAATGGCATTGTTTTTTGGGTTTAGCGACCTGATAAGAATGTACTCTTAAGTAGGGAAAAAGTCTGCAAAATAAAAATTCTTTAATATTTTTTTCATATAATAATTATCACGAATCCTTAATGTACTGACATAACTTATTGACTGTTTCAAAAATAACCGAATCTTCGGCTACTAAATTCATTAATGTTAAGTGTTTACTTGACCTGTGCGACCGAGTTTGATTAAGATAGGATAACAATGACGAACAAACACTTTAAAATATATTGCAATATCGTTCTTATTAAGCCAATAAATTAACAATATTCATAATATCTTTATCTACTATTAAAAATTTTTTTAAAATAAGATACTGATAAAGTGTTATTTTTCTGAGCGATTCTTTTGATATTTGCTTTTAAGTATAAATTGATAAGGAACCGAGTAGCCGAAGTTGCTATTCCTGAAACACTGATGTTTTAATTATCTAAAGTCTACAGTCAGTAAAGACAAATATGTGCTACGTTTTGGGGTTTTGAAATTTGAAATTCCACTGGACAATTATTGATGATAATATCAAGAAATGTTTAATAAAAATTAATTATAAAAATAAGCAAACTAAATTTAGATCTATAACATATTTGGTCCATGATTAATTAATTGGATTTCTTTTCTCGAAGGCTGGTTTGTGTTTATCATGCTTTCTAATTACCTAAATTACCTGTGATCATCAAGACATAAATGGGTGGCAGAATTAAAATAAATTTTACTAAAAAACATAATTTATTTCTATGTTAAATAATGAATATATTCAAATTATATTTACAAGAAACTAACTACGTGATTCAATGAATTTAATAATTAACTGTGAAGGTATGATTTCAGATGGACTGTTTTGAAAATTATATTGCCATGAAATATTCTAACATTAGTAAATTTATTGTTGGGAATAAAAGTTATCTACTGTATATGACGTAGTGTAGTTGGTTTGTTGTATCACTGCATCTGTTGACCTGAGGTCACCTCGTCAAATCCAGGTCTAAAACTCTGCCTCATAATAAATTTAAAACCTTATTTGCTAGGTTCAATACATATGAAGTTATTTTTATAAAGATACCGCGGTGAGTTCAAATTGTTTCAAGTGTTGGGAATACGTTTTTCTTGACCTTATCTGTGGTACAAAAACATTTGGAACTTAGTATTTTCGGGTAAAATAAAAATAATCTCAACCAATAAAGACAAATAAAAAAGAAAAAGTAAGCGGACTACACGTGAGCCAATGATATTAAAATAGACCTTAAAAGCTTTCCTTATTGATTCGTGTGAAATTATCCTCGACTTTCCTTGAACACTAATATTGTAATATTGACCTATGGATTATTTGCCTAGCAATAAATGATTTATTCAAACTAAAATATTTCGTGACTAGGCGGAGTAGAAAAGTTTCTAGTGCCCTTGCTATTTGAGCACTTCGGCACGCGACCACATTTGGCAAGTAATGAATTCATTGACTTTGAAATGTTTTTTAGGCAGTTGAGTCCATGTAACGCAGGGAATCTATTACGTTTTCTCTGTACAATATTTCTGGATCAAAGTATATTCTGGAAATTTCCAAAAAAAAAAAATAATAATACCACTGTATAACATAGTGCTTAAAATATTCAGGTACCTTAAACAATTTAGTGGAGAATGTTTTAATTTTTATAAAAGTTAGAATATATGGTAGAAAATTGAAATATAGTTAGTATATAGAGTATAATTTTTTTTTACTGCATTATTTGTTTATTGATAAATATTACAATCTGTCTCAATAAAGGACATTTATAATTGAGTTTTGAGAGCACATTCACACCATATTTACAAAAAAAAAATAAAAATAAATAAAGTATTCAAAATAAAATAAAGCTAAATAAGAACAAAATAAAATAGCATAGTAAAGAAAGAAAACATAAATAATACTATTTA